CTTACAGGATGATTACCTGGTGACGTCTGACCAACTGTGGGTCCCCCTGCGCTGGATCGCCCCGGAGCTCATTGATGAAGTACATGGGAACCTCTTGGTGGTGGACCAGACCAAGTCCAGCAACATCTGGTAGGACATCCGCCCTGTCTCTGCCTTGTTTGTCACTCGCAGTAGCTCTCCCCTCCGTGCCCTGGGTGGAGCCCCGGGGGAGCCGAGCGCGCGTGCTTTTCCTGCCTGCGGGCGCCACCAGCTTCGCCCTCGCTTTCCTCCTCGTCTCCGCAAGGCGAGATCGCCAGCTGTCCGGGGAATTTCGGAGATACACCCCCCGAAATGTTCTTTTACTTCTCCCTGGAAACGTCTCTGCTATTGTTTGTTAAACCGAATTCCAGTTCTCGGATTTTTTTTAAGAACTGTTACTTTTTTTTTTTTTAATAATGTGTTTGTCAAAACAAACAACATGTTGACAGTGTTAAACAAACGTTTGATGTCTGACAGACGCAAAGCTGTTCCTCCCGCGAGCTCCGGGGGTTTTTCCACGCCGAAAGGAGCGTGCGAATGAAAAGGGTCTTGTAATCCAATTTAGACCCCGTTCACATGTAGCGACATACCTTTGCAGCGGCCGGGATAGCGCGACTTTCGGGGCGACGTTCCAGCGACGATCCAGCGACGGTAGCGCGACCTTCTCCATGGGGCTCCATAGACAAAAAGCAAAATCGCACAAAATCCGCCGAAAAAAGGGTCCGGTAGAAGCGACTTGCGACCGCGACGCGCGACATGGAGTTAAGACAGCTCCATTGAATAGCATTGGCCGGCGACTTCTCGCGATATCGCGCGGCAAAAATGCGCGATATCGCGGCGGAAATCGCGCGACAAGTCGCTATATGTGAACGGGGCCTTAGAGAATTCGCCGCGGTGGGAACGGCGTGATCCCGGCCGCTCGGCGTCACCGGCTCAGGGGACAACAATGTGTCAGTTGCAATGTTTTGACATCTCCGTCGTTAGGCACCCGAGCTGCGAGGGTCTCCGGCGAGCGCAGTACGCCACCGCGGCGCCATGGTTACAGAATGAGATTGTAGAATATACTTTGCGGTGTATTGTGAAGGACTGGGCCGGGTATTGTGTGAATTTGATACACTGAATTGTCGTAACAAATTTACTTATCGACAATCTCATTGAGAACTCGAGAGTCGGGAGTCACCGTCGGCTCCCTGAGCTTACACGCTGTCTCCCGGCTCCGGGGGTGAGCATAACAGACGAATAACACGGCCATTAACTCTTTGCATCCCAATGATTTCATGTTGGGAAACAATAACAACTCGGTCACCACGAGTGTCTGCGCTGATGTGTTTTTTTTTACGCCGCAGGCTTGTAAAGTTGAGAGCTTGCTGGCTACCTTGCTTTGCAGCACTTTAGTCCCGCATTCAGTCCCCGCCAGGGATGTGACCTCTATGTTCTCGATATGTTTATGTGACTTTCTGCCTAGTCATCCCGCTTCTTCCCAAAAACAAAGCAGCAGAATCATCTAGAAACTGCTGACATATGTGTCTGCCTGACTGCGGTATGGACAAGTATGATATGAGCAGCTGTATGTCCGCAATATGGAGTTTATCCCCATCATACCCTCTGTACACGTCTTCTTCACATACTGCCCACCATCATATCCTATGTACTCCTCTTCTGTACATAATGCCCCCCGGGCCCCCGTGACACTCTCCACACTCCTCTCCTGTACATACTGCC